GGAACCAGGGACATGATCTTTGTCTCTGTTATAAGATCATGTTCAATGTCTGACATCACCAGCTGCTGTCCCCTGTCCGTCTCTCTCTCCCCGTCCAGCCGGCGCTCCCTCTACCTGGTGAACCTGGACGCTCCGTCTGAGCCGTCCCGTAAGATGGGTCGCCACAGTAAGTGGGACGTGGGGACGGTCCAGTGGAACCCGCACCGGTCCCAGGCTCACATCTTCGCCGCCTCGGTGAGTTCTGCTGCGATCCGGTCCGGTCCAAACAGGTTTTTATTGGAGGCTCTGAACCATTACTGGATGATTGATTGATGAATGAATCCCCGGCTGTTTATGGTTCCGACCATTTCATGAAGTCGCATCCAGGCATGATGCTGCCACCGCCATGTTAGACCTGGACGTTGGGGTCCAGGTCCTGAATGTTCCTCCTATGTTTCCAGAGCAACCAGCGAGTGGACCTGTACTCCTGGAGGGATGGCTGTGGAGAGACTCACACGTCCCTGCAGGGACACACCCGGGTCATCAGGTGACAGACACAAAGCAACCACACCTGTCCACAGGTGGAGACAGGTGAGACTCACTGTGTCTGTCCCGGCAGCGACCTGGACTGGTCCTGGTTCGACCCGGAGCTGCTGGTGTCCAGCTCAGTGGACACCTACATCTACATCTGGGACACCAGGTAGAATGAAAACCCGGGAACGGACCGGAACCGGTCTCAGAAGACACTGGACCTGTTGTCCTCATGTCTCTCTGTCCGTCTCCACAGGGACACTCGGAAACCCACAGTGGCACTGTCTGCTGTTGGTGAGTCCTCAGCCTAAAACGGTCCCAAGTTCCCTGAACACACCGCTGACCGCTGTGCCTGTCCCACCGTCCCTCCAGCCGGAGCCGCCCAGGTGAAGTGGAACCGGAGGAACCCACACCTGCTGGCGTCCAGCCATGACGGAGATGTCCGCATCTGGGACAAGAGGGTGAGATGTCCGGCGGGTTCTGGGATGGGTCTGGCAGCTGGACGAACTCTGACCTGTCCTCCTGTCTCCACAGAAACCCAACACGGCGGTGGAGTACCTGGCCGCTCACCTGTCCAAGATCCACGGCCTGGACTGGCACCGAGACAACGAGTTCGTCTTCGCCACGTCCAGCCAAGACAACTCCGTCAGGGTGAGGACACGCTGTCCTAAACGTCTCATCAGGACGCCTCATCAGGACGGCGTCCTGATGAGACGCCCTTTCTCTTCTGTCCCCAGTTCTGGGACTACCGGCAGCCCAGGAAGTACCTGAGCGTCCTGTCCTGCCAGGTGCCGGTGTGGAAGGCCCGTTACACGGTGAGACACACTTGTCTATGTCCCGGTCTGTGCCCACGTCCCTCTGTTTCACCCTGTCCCCGTCTGTCCCCAGCCGTTCTCCAGCGGTCTCGTCACCGTCATGGTCCCTCAGCTGCGGCGGGAGAATAGTCTCCTGCTGTGGAGCATTCTGGACCTCAACAGTCCCGTCCACGCCTTTGTTGGACATGATGACGTCGTCCTGGAGTTCCAGTGGCGTCCCCAGAAGGAAGGTGAGCGTCCCCCAGTCTGCCGCCCCCTCAGACAGCCTGGGGCAAACAGTCTGAGTGTCTCCTGTCCCCCAGGGTCCAGGGACTTCCAGCTGGTGACCTGGTCCCGAGATCAGACGCTACGGATCTGGAGGGTGGAACCTCAGCTGCAGAAGGTCGGTTGGCGGCCAATCAGAGCTGGACGAGGCGTCACCGCGCTCTGATTGGCTGCTCCGTGTCTCCCGCTGCAGCTGTGCGTCAGCGACCTGGTGGACGAGCTGATGGATGACGTGTCCATCGCCGTGGAGACGGAGAAGTCCCTGGGCACACAGCAGGGCGGGGATCCAGCTTCGGACGGCCCGCAGGGTATGAACAGAATTTGACTGTTCCAGAACCTTCGGCTGACGTGACCTTGGACCATTCCTCTGGGACAGTCCAGACCTGGAGCAGAACCCAGAGCTCCAGGTCTGGGTCCGGTTCTGGTCCAACAAACCATCAACTGGACCAGAAGCAGAACAGGTCCTCGAAGCATTTGAGACCCACACCAGCCGAAAATGTTAAATGTTCTGGTTCCAGTAGAACCGGGTCGACCCGACCATCAGGAGGGAACCGTCCTGAGGTCCAGATAAGTGCTCCTCCGTCATGTGGCCGACCCGGCTGGCATAGGAAAGACAATCTGGGCCGACCCGGGTCTCTGCTGTGGCGGAGCTGAAAGCTGAATGTTTCCGTCTCAGGGCAGATTGTCACCCAAAGGCCGAAGGTCAAAGGTTGAACATCAAGGTTTGGTCCAGCCTGACCTCTGACCTCTCCTCCTAGGTCAGTCGGTGAGCCGTCCGGATCCGACCGCCGGTTCTGGTCTGGCCCAGACTCTGCAGCAGGAGTTCTCCCTGGTCAACCTGCAGATCCGGAATGTCAACGTAGAGGTGAGGCTTCATCCTCAGCCCAGTTCCGCCAGCTGTCTGACCCGGTTGTGCGTCTATCCCCAGATGGACGCCCGGAACCGGAGCTGCGTGGTGTCGGCCCACTTCGGCGGCCAGCGGGTCCACCTGGTGGTCAACTTTCCGGTCCAGTACCCCAACAACGCCGCGCCCTCCTTCCAGTTCGTCGCCCCGACGACCATCCCCTCCGCCATGAAGACCAAGATCCAGAAGGTCAGTGATGGCACAGGACCAGAACCGGCTGGCCCAAAGGGATCAGCTGGTCCTGATGCACCAGGACCAGAACCGTTCTGTCAGAACAAACAGAAGCCTGAACTCCTGAGTGATGAGGGTCCGTTCAGTCTGGTCCGGTCCACTTACCTGACCCACCGCAGAACCTCACCGATGCCTTCAGCAGATCTTGGGGGGCCCAGAACCAGACTGGACCCGGACAGGGCCCGGTGTGGACCAGAACCTGAGTCCAGCTGTCTGTGTCCAGGTCCTGATGGACACGTCTCTGCAGAAGGTGAAGCGGAACCAGAACTGCCTGGAGCCGTGCGTCCGGCAGCTCGTCTCCTGCCTGGAGTCAGACATGGTGAGAGCGTCAGAACTGGGTCAGAACTGGGTCAGAACCAAGTCAGAACCAGGCGGCACCATCCTCAGCATTTTGTCTCTGTCCATCAGACCCAGGAGGACGGTCCGGCGTCCGGCCCGTTTGTCCTGTCCAATCCCGTGGCTCCGTCCCTGCAGGCGTTTCCCCGGGTCACCAACACCTACGGCTCCTACCAGGTGACTTCCTGCCGCCCGCCCGCTGCCCGCCGCCCACTGCCCGCCGCCCGCTCTTCATCGCCGTAACAACCGCTTTCCTTTCAGGACGCCAACATCCCGTTCCCCCGGACCTCCGGAGCCCGGTTCTGTGGTACCGGCTGCCTGGTCTACTTCACCCGACCGATCACCATGCACCGCTCGGCCCCGCCCACAGAGCCCACACCCAGGTGAGGACCGGGCAGAACCAGCTGTCCGACTGGAAGGTCCTGATTGGACCGGGCCGCTTCTGTAAGGTGAGATCGGCTGGGAATCAGAACCACAAGGTCCAGATGTTGAGCGCCCCTCCTCTCTCCCTCAGGTCCCTGTCGGCGCTGTCCGCCTACCACAGCGGGGTTCTGACCCCGATGAAGATGCGCTCCGAGTCCCAGAACACGCTGCGGCTCTACAGCGGCAGCCCGACCCGGTCCGACAAGGACACTGTCTCCATCTCCTCCTTCTACTACAAGGAGCGGGTGAGACTCACACACACACACACACACACACACACACACACGCACACACGCACATGTTTGTGTTGCTATCTTTGTGGGGACTTTCCATTGACTTCCATTCATTTCTACAGCCTAAACCTGACCTTTACCCCTTTCCTAACCCTAACCAAAACTCAATTCATACCTTAGTCCTAACTCTGACCCCTGACCCAAAAACAGGGTTTCCCCTTGAGGGGACCAGGCTCCGGTCCCCACAATGTAGTATATGTCAGGAAAATCGTCCCCACAAGGTATTACAAACAAACGCGCACACACACACACAGTCACGCAGAGCGGTGGTCACAACCCAACAGAACCTGCAGTACCACTAACAGCCAGCAGGAGGCCCTGGAGTCAGGATGGA